ATGCAGGCCCAATCCAGTTGTGTCTCTGGTGGTGGGGTTCAAAGCTGGGGCCACAAGGTCTCTATGCATCAACTAAGGAATACCATGGCCCCACCTGTCCCACTGTGAGTCATCTTTTGAGAATAAGGCTTAAAATAGTTGTCACTATAGCCAAGCCTGGTAGTGTATGCCTTCAAATCCCAGCACTCAGGAGGCAGGTGAATCTGAGGCCAGCCTGGTCTATAGAGTGAGTCAAAGGTTGGCTAGGGTTGTTATGCAAAGAAACCCTGTCTCAACCCTTTGCTGCGCCCCCCCCCCCAAAAAAAAGGTTGTCTAGTATTGTTGTTATGACCCCCAAGAGGTTGTCTGTTGTTATTGTTGCTACAAGGCTTGGTTGGCGGAAGACTGAGATAGTCCTGATTTTTCCATAAACATTTATTATCTGCAAAGCCTTTATTATTCTCCCTGCCTCATAAGTTTCTATTGTGTGTTACCTGTAGATGCTTGTGTGTGCTCACGTGGAAGCCTCCCGTGTTCAGGCACCACTTACCTTAGTTTTAGACATGGTCTCTTGGCCGGGAGCTTGTTGATCAGTCTATGCTGGGTAGCCAGTGGGCCCTTGGGATCTTCTTGTCTATGTGTCAGTGCTGGGTTATAGGCACAAGCTGCCGTGCCTCATTTCTTTTTCATGGGCTCCAGGGATCCACCTCAGGTCCTCAAACTTGCAAGACAAACCTTCATGAACATCTATCTACCTAGCCCCATAAATTACAGTTTTTAAGAGATATAAAATATAGCAGGGCGGTGGTGGCGCACGCCTTTAATGCCAGCACTTGGGAGGCAGAGGCAGGTGAATTTCTGAGTTTGAGGCCAGCTTGATCTACAGAGTGAACAGGACAGCCTGGGCTTCAGAGTAGCTCTGTCTCAATAATTATAAAAGCGCACAGGGTTGGGGTGGGAAGGAAGTACAAGGAGGCACAGAGAGTGTTTTATTCCGGGGCGTGGTACTGTGAATGATCTTCCTGGTATGGCTTTGTGCAGGGTGAAGCTCAGGTTATGTTTGGATCTTAACTGCAGGTCCTGGTGGGGCAGCCTCAACCCTTCCTTCCTTACCTTGTCTTTGTCTCCATACCCTAAGGCGGCTGAGGAAGAAGACATCCCCAAACAGAAAGAACGAACCCACTTCACCGTCCGCCTGACAGAAGCAAAGCCTGTGGACAAAGTGAAGCTCATCAAGGAGATCAAGAACTATGTGCAGGGCATAAACCTTGTCCAGGTGGGACCCCTTCCTCAGAGCCTTCCCCTGGGTGGTGTTGATGGTGGCTTTTCTTGCTTGGGTATGCTTGTGACAGACTGTTGTCTCTTTTAGGCCAAGAAGCTGGTGGAGTCCCTCCCCCAGGAAATCAAAGCTAACGTCGCCAAAGCTGAGGCAGAGAAGATCAAAGCAGCCTTGGAGGCAGTGGGTGGCACTGTGGTTCTGGAGTGAAACACGGTTATGAGGACTTATGGACTAGTGTCCCTGGGATCCAGGCAAAGCCTGCTCACCCCGCTTCACTCCCTGGCGGTGCGTTGGGAGCAACAGCTACTGACGCTAGTGACCAAGGTCTCCTGAGAGAGGGACAGGATGGACCTACTGTGATGGGGTGGGGCAGTGACAACCTTTGCAGAACTCTCAACAGATTGCCTTGGGAACTTACCAAGTGAATACACCCTCTGGTGGCTACTGAGAAAATATACTATTCAGGCTGGGTGTGTCCAGTGAGTGGTGTGTGTGCCCAGGCCTGGTAGTATGAGGGACCCCCTAGAGGCATATGTGTGTCCTGAACCTTGTGCAGGCTCTTTGCCCCTGCTGTGCCTGCCTGTTGGGCTTTTTTGGGGAGTGCAGCCATGCATCATGTCCCATTGTTTGGGGGAGGGGGCTATCCTCTGTTACTCCATAATAGGTTGTGTCCACCCAGACACAGCACAGTATGGAGCTGAGTTTAGGGGAGGGGTTGTATCTTGAGGTTTGAATAGGGAATTTCCATTCAGATGCTTGGAGAGGTTGTGTTCCTTTGTTTAACACAGGGTTTCTATATGTAGCTCTGGCTGTCCTGGAACTTGCCTTGTAGACCAGGCTGGCTTTGAACTCAAATCTGCCAGCTTCTGCCTCCTGTGTGTCAACACTGCCCAACATATACTTGGAGTTTTAAAAGTAACAAAGTCTGGCCCAACCTACCAAGACTGTTTTGGGTCCAGCATAGCCCCAGCTGGGGTGGGTAGGGACTGAGCTAGTAGCTCTAATACTCAATGCAGGATGGTGGTCCACAAGAGGGATAAGCACACTTAAAGATGGGACTTCTGCCAGACTCAGGGCTGGGGCAAGGTGGCAGAAGAGGCTTGTGCATGCAGGTCTTAAAAGACTCTGACCAAGCCTGCACTGGGTCACCCCCAAGGTGGAGTGTGGAGTCGGTAGTTTTGTTCCTAGAACTCTGAGCAGAACCTAGGAGAACAACCATCTTCAGCTGGTCTTTAACCAAGCCCAAAGCCCAGTAGTGTTTGAACAGAAGGTACCCTCTAGCATTGGTACTGAGTAGTTGCAGTTCCTGTAAGAGACCAGAAGAGGGCAGTGTTGTCTTGTGAGGACTGCCTTGCACTTGGCAGCCCCACCCAGCTATAAGCCAGTCCACTCCACACTACATAACTAGGAAACTCCAGCTTCCCTGACTGAACTGCTGTACTCGGCCTTGGGGATTGCTGATGGCCACCCTGTTCTGGTTAATGATTGTCCATGAGCACTTCAGGGCTGTCCTCACAAAGGTGGCTACCAGGAGGCCTAGGTATGACTTGCCAGATCCTGCTACCACCTGGGGCAGGTGGGTGAGCTATCCTGTGGCCTGAAAAGTTCACATCTGCTCTAAGTACCATTCTACCCCAGGCAAGAGTCTAATCAATGCTAAGGTGATACCAGGCCCATGTGTTCTGAGCTTGAGGACGATGGACAAAGGTCTGGGTTGACCCTGACCTCTTTGGCTGTTACGTTAGCCTCACTTCACTCCTGTGATTCTGGACCATGCACTGAAGACAGATACAGACCTTAGTATGTGGTTGTGCTGATTGGTAGTAAAACACTTGCCTGGTGTGTGTAAGCTCTGCGTGCCTTCCCAAGTACTTCAGAGCAAGAAAAACTCAGGCCCCTTGATGTTATGGCCATTCCAGCCTTTCTGTACCCATTAATTACATGTGGGCCCTAGAATCCTGCGTGTATATGTGTTTGCCGTCCCAACAGTGAGGCCAATCTGAGAGCTACATGCGTGTTAGATCCTGTCTTAAAGGTAAAACGAGTCCTTAGCCTCTGGCCTGCATTTCCCAGTTGGGGCTTGTCCTTGCTCTCTACCTTGTAAGTTTTTCCCCATGGACTGAGTTCCTGTGGCCAGTAATGGTTTCCAGCTCTCTCAAAGAAGGGTAGACTACATATGTCTACATCTGTAGCCTGGTCACCTCCATTCTAGTTACAAGATTGATTAGACTGCTGTTGGATTTGGACCAAATGAGACTAGACAGAACTTGGCATAGCTTTGTTCCCGTGCTGTGTGAAGATTACCCTAACCCTTGGTCCTATAGCTCATGGTTCTTACGTGTAGCTTTGAAGGTGCCTCCAGTGTTTTATACACAAAAGCAGTATCTCTTGTTGAACACCAACCAGGCTTCCTCTAGCTTATGACCTCTTTGCTGTGCCTGGTGGTTTATGTCTAGTACTTCTCAGTTTCTGGGTAGGGCTGGTCTGTATGGGCAAGACCAAATGGTGCTCCTGGTCTCACACCAGCTGAACAATTATTCATTTCCCTACCCCACAGAGGCCCAGCTAAGTTATCAGATACTGCCACCTGGAGACCTGCCTAGACCTAAGGTATACATGTTGCCTGTACTTGCTGTAGGAAAGGAATGGATCCAGTGTGGGAAGTGTCCCTCACTCCCTCGGTACAGGCTTCTCCCAGTGTAGGGTGCTTTTGGGTGTGGGGAGAAATGCCAAGACAGCACAGCCCCTAGTGAGGAGCCAGGAGATCTAGCTTGGGTCTATGACAATAAGCATCTCGGCATGGGAGGCCACCTAGAGTTCTAGATGAACGGCATGATGCTTTATACCCCCATACTGCTACAAAGTTGGGCACTGGATGTTCAGCAGGGGCAGCCCGGGGCCTGGAGCTGTTTGCCAGGTGTATGTTAGCTTTCTTTTTTGCATCAGATAGCTATTGAGCCGGAGCTATAGGACACCTGTCTTTTATTCATGTGGCCAGACTTAATGCAGCCTTGGGACTCGGAATTCATCTTGCCTAGCAGGTGCACCCTCGGACTAGGAGCACATGTGGATTTCTTTGCCCATTGTCAGGAGTTAGAGATGGGCTTCTGAGACCAGGCAGATTGGAGCTGCTTCCTAGGAGCCTGAGCCAGTAACTATGAAGAATTCACAGTCCAGAACCCTCTCCGTGGTGGCTGCCTAAGGCTGTGTCCACAGCAAAGCTTGGCAGGGACTCGCTGGGTGTAGGCATGGGGGAGGAGCGCTGCTACCCTTTACTAAGAGCCTTTTGTCCCTGGTTTCTATTTAATTTGCAGACTGGCCTCAAGAAGGTTTCCATCCCCCTCTACATCTGGGCGGGGGATGGGCCCTCGAGGGGGATGGGGGTGGGGGATGGGGGGCAGAGGTCCACTGCTACAACACGTGTCCTTCACCTGGGTAACACAAGTCAGCACCAGGGCGCAAGTTCAGGCTAGGGCTAGAGGGTGCTGGTAGGAAACCAGCCTCCTGTTGAGTTGAGAATGGCAGAGCGCCTGCGGAACTGAGATCAAAGCCATAATCTGGAGAAGTAGGGGTGGCCATGAGCTAGCTCCAGCGGTTTCACGGTCCAGTGGACCTCCCATCTATGCTCCTCGGTGCGGCCGCTTTAAGACCAGAGGTGGAGTCTCCCAAGGCCGGAGTCCAGCGGCAGGCGGAGCCCATAGGCCCCGCCCCTGGGGCCGCGCGGGCGCATTGGCTGCACCGGGCGCGGGCGCTCGGTAGCGCTTTGAACCGGCCGTCAAGCGGCTGGAACCCGAGTTGTGGTGCTGACCGGGGTCGGACCAGGTCGTTGCTGCTCTGGCCATGGCCGAGGCACGCGTGTCTCGCTGGTACTTTGGGGGGCTGGCTTCCTGCGGAGCCGCCTGCTGCACGCACCCGCTAGACCTGCTCAAGGTGAGGCTGAGTTTCAAGGCCGATCGCGCGGGTGAGCCCTAGGCGCTGGGGACCATCCCCGGCCTGGCGCCTACAAGGCGTCTACTGCGGCCGCCGCTTGACTGCGCACCCGGTAATTACTGCCGGCGACGCCCACGCCGGCCTGAGCCCCGGCTGCCCCGCTCTGCGCTGCTGGCCTTGGGCCTGCGGACGCCCCTACGCTTACTTCCCCGTAGGCAGCGGTGGAAAATCCCCGGGGACCGTCTGCAGCTGGAGTCCGCAAGTGACAAACAGCTAAGCCTCAGAGGGGACATCCTGCTCCTCAGCTCACCGGCTAGTCCCCCCTGCTCCCCCCAACTCACCTCCCCCCCCCCCCCCCCGTCTTAACAGATGGCTGTCCAGCTTCAGCTGTGCGCGATAGTACTTATGTGAACTCTGCCACTCTGAGCCATTCCTTGGTCACAAACATTCGACTACTCTGGTTAAAGTTGTGCGTGTGTACAGGCGTTGAGACCCAAAGACCAGCCTGGATGCTGCACGCAAGAGCACTCCCACTGCAGGGTGCTTAGCACCACCTACTGTGAGGGCTTGGGAGTTGGAAATGAAGGCAATGGGTTAGGTGGTGATGTGACCTCGGTCTTCTGCTTCCGCTTGTTTGATTGCTATATTGGGATCAGCACCGTCCTAAGTGAGCTAGGAGACCTTGCATTCATAGGGTTCTGCCCTGTAAGACTGGCCGTAACAAATGAGACACGTGGTTTTGTGGGGGTTTGTTTGTGTGTGTGTGTGTGTGTGTGTGTGTGTGTGTGTGTGTGTTTCTTTAAAAATAAATACTTCTAGGGCAAACTGAGACAGCTCTCTCCCTGTTTCTGGGGTATTTTTTCCTGATTCTGTATTACCACAAAGAACTCACCCACTCTGCCCAATGGACTCTGGCTGCTACTTCAGCCTGTGGACCGAGCATTCACACTGGCTGCCACCCCCCCCCATCCCCCACGTTGGTTTGGTCCTTGAGATCTGAGCTGTTTGTTGATCCAGTCCCAGGCAAATTCTTCAAGCTTCTGGGCTGGTCTCTGTCTCCTCTTGGGGACTGAATTTCCTAAGAAAGGCAATAGCTTTTCTTTCTTTTATTTGTAGCCCAGGTTTACCTTCAACTTGTTATGCAGGCTTTGGACTCCTGCCTCTACCTTCCACGTGCAGGGGTTTCAGGCTTGGATGTCACTCCCAGATAGCTTTTCTAATTACTAAGAATGCTGGCCATTGGGTACACATGAGGACTGGAACCTCATTTTTCCTGGGGGTAGCATACACAGGTCCAGCCCCTGGGCCTTGCCTCTGGCAGGTATTATAACAGGAAGAGGAGGGTACTGATTGTTCTGGGAGGGGTTTCCTGTTGGTGTTTTCCTTTACTGAATGTACCTTCATCCTTCTCCGTCATGGGGGTCAGGCTAGATGGCTAACCCAGGTATGGGCCCAGGAGACTCACCTCACTCCCAGACAGTCCTTTGAGTGTTGACAGACTATGACATAAGAGTCCCAGGTGATTTGTTCATTGTCTAAGTTCCCTCCGGGTTTCGCCCCACCCCCACTCGGATGTTCTGCTGCTGCCCGGAGGAACAAGAAAGGTTGCAGTGGATGCCTGACCACTATTGGACCCAGGCCAGTCAACAGTGGGCAGTGCTCAGCCGCAGGAGAGTTAGCGGTCAGCGTATCCCAGTGAAGACTGCTCACAGAGACCATTTGAAAACTTGTATGGATTTTGTTTTAATAAGACAGGATCTTATTACACCTCAGGCTGACCTCAAACTCATGATCCTCCTGCCTTTGTCAACTTTGAAAACATGTTTTGAATTCGCTTGCTGTGTCCACTTTGCTTTGGTCCTCACATCCACAGAAGCTGTTAACCCTCATAGCCACTGTCCCTTGGGTGGGCCTTGACCCTTTGTCCCACTTGATCTGCATACTACTGGAGGATCACACCCCTATGGCTGAGCACCAGGCACCCTCTGTCCTCACCATCTTAGCTCTTTCTCTGTCAATTTTTCACATGAGTGTAAGCATGCCTGTGGGGCCACATTTGGCTGTGGACAGGCATTTTGGAATCAGTACCAGGGCTGATACAAGAATGATCAGGGCCAAAGCTCCTGAGCCTGACCTCAGGCCATCAGGACAGGAGAGAGAGTGAAGCAAGGCCTTGAGGGGCATAATTGTCACTACTGTATAAGAAGGAACAGTTATAGGCCCGGGACTAGGCACACTCCACCATTCTTAGGCCCTTTGGGACCTCCCTACTGCCCTGCTTTGGTTTCCTCCCACCCTAGGTAGGGATGCTGACAGCACCAAGTCCACAGGGTACAGACCTGGAAATAATTGATCCTGGCAGTTACCTCAGCAGAGCTTGTAATGGAGGCCCAGGCAGCTGGCTCACCGCAACCTTGTTTCTTCCAACTTGTGGCTAGGTCAGAGCTCTGCTCTGCATGGACGTGACAGACCCTCCCTGTCTATGCACAGGTGCATCTACAGACCCAACAGGAGGTGAAGCTGCGCATGACTGGAATGGCACTGCAGGTGGTGCGAACCGACGGCTTCCTGGCGCTCTACAACGGCCTGAGTGCCTCGCTGTGCAGGCAGGTGCGTGCATACGGCTTGGTTCTCGGACAGGACTCCTGAGATGAGTTCTTTTTTCTCTCGTGTTGACATCGGCTTCCTAGGTCTCAGAACCTAGGAGTCAGTCCTGTGAAGGAGCCTTAGGGAGCTGCAGCTGCTTTCTCTTCCTCCTTCAGATTTATTACAGATGAGACACGGGGTGGGTGTGCGGCAGGGGCCTGCCTTCCAGTCTCAGAAGGGAAAACTGAGGCTGAGAACAACCGGGAACAGCTCCTCTGGGTTTGTGAATTGGCTTGACTGCTTGCAAGCTCAATGGCTTTAGAATGGACACTGGGTAGAGTGACCAGTCCTCTGAGCCAGGCCCCCTCCCCAGATGACCTACTCCCTGACTCGGTTCGCTATCTACGAGACCATGAGGGACTACATGACCAAGGACAGCCAGGGGCCTCTCCCCTTCTACAACAAGGTCTTGCTGGGCGGCATCAGTGGTGAGCACTGGGTAGTCAGGGCAAGGGCTGGGCGGAGGCCCAGGACAGGGGACCGTCAGGCCCTGACACTTATATCACCACAGGTTTAACTGGAGGCTTCGTGGGGACCCCAGCAGATTTGGTCAATGTCAGGTTTGTATGAGCCTCTCATCCCACAAGGTCAAGGGCTTTCCCATTCCCAGGCAGGCAAGCCTTTGCCCAAATTACTCCCAGACTCCAAAGTACACTCAGCCTGGGGCAAGCCACTCAGACTCTAAGCCTGGCTTTAGCCAACTCCCATGATCCTTCCCTGAGCTTGGGTAGACAATCCAGCACTGTTAGCCCCAGGCAGTGAGCTGACGTGAGGCCTGGGGGCTAATGTACATCCAATGGACCACCTATCGCTGCCTGTCCTACTATTTCAGGATGCAGAATGACATGAAGCTGCCCCTGAACCAGCGGCGCAAGTGAGTAGGGGTGGGCTTTGGCCAGGTGGGAGACAGAGGTAAGGGGCCAGGCCAGGGAGGACCCCCGCACAGGTCTGCTGTCACATAACCAGGGACTCCCCGAATTGCTCATGAGTGCTCATGGGTCATATGGAACAGGAAACTGGTGACTTTACCATGCACAGTCACCCTGGGGTCACTAAGGGCTGTCACCTGGTCCCCTAAGACCTTTATGTTCTTTCCTATGGGAAGAATCTCACTAAACAGAGGTAGTCCCCATACCTGCCTGCAGGAACCTGCTGATACCAGAACTATCATATAGGATTGGGCTTCTTTGTAGCTGAGGATAGCCCTAGTCAGGTGTCTATGAGTGCAGGGGCACCCAAGCCTCAAAGCCCATGAGGTAGGGACACATGGGAGAAGGGCTCACAGCCAGGAGACCTGAGGTAGGAAGGCCCTCCTTTTCCACTCCAGGCTAGCCCCAGGCACAACATGGGGCTTCAAGATCAGCGTCTTCTGCAGCAGCTCCCCGCCCTTCCTGGCAGTGTCTAGCGTCCCTTCTAACAGTCTCAACTATCTCACTTTTTCCTTCACCTGTGGGAATCCAGGCTGTTTCTAGTGTTGTCTTCCCTTATGCTTAGGCTGTCCTTGAACTACAATCCTCCTGGTTTATCCTCCACAAAACTAGGCTGGTCCAGTTTCTAGTTTGTCTCTTTCTTCTTTTCTTTTTTTCTTTCTTTCTTTCATTCTTTCTTTCTTTCTTTCTTCCTTTCTCTCCCTCCCTCCCTCCCTCCCTCCCTCCCTTCCTCCCTTCCCTTTCCAGCTTCTTATTTTTATTTAATTTTGGGATAGGGTCTCATTCTGTAGCACAGGCTGGCTTTGAACTCTTACCATGAGGTACCCCATTGAGTATAATGCTGTTGCAAGAGTTGTGTGACCCACAGTGGGGATGTGGCTTTTCCTGGGGCCTAAGACACACCCTGCAGAACCAAGGGATGTGGTGAACCTCATCGGTCCGACTTTTGTCACCAACAGCTACTCTCATGCCCTGGATGGTCTGTACCGTGTAGCCCGCGAAGGTGAGGGGGAGAGGAATTTTACCTGATTGTAAAAATGTATGAATTTGGGTACATATGTGAACGGGTGGGCTTGGGGTGGAAAAGCAGCCCGCGGAAACAGACAGGGTGGGCAGTCAAGTGCAATGTTGGGGTGGCCTGAGGTCTAGAGTGATGTCACCTGTCACTTTTTCCTGCAGAAGGCCTGAAGAAGCTCTTCTCCGGAGCAACCATGGCATCCAGCCGTGGGGCCCTCGTCACTGTGGGCCAGGTAGGGGTCCTGTGCAAAATGGTGCTTTTAGACAAACATGTATGACCTCTATCCTCTATCCCCAGGGACTACAGCATAGCAGTGAGCACTGGGAGCCTTGGGGAGATTCGTGCTGTCCTGGGAGAGGGTGGGCACAGGTGGTTCAGCGGCAGCCTGCGTCTGACTTTGAGGCAGATCCTCACCTGCATGTCCAGGTGTGGTGATCCAGGTGACAGCAGGTGCTCGCTCACTGTCAGATGTTGTCATGTGGACCCTGTCTACTCTGTCTGGTTTCGGGGGTTTCTTTGGCCATGACTGTCCCCATTCCTGTGTGCAGCTGTCCTGCTATGACCAGGCCAAACAGCTGGTCCTCAGCACCGGGTACCTGCGTGACAACATTTTCACCCACTTTGTCTCCAGTTTCATCGCCGTAAGTGCCCCGCGTGGGGTGGGGGGTGGGGCACGATTCAAGGAGCACTTGGGGTGAGCCTGATGCAGCCTTCCTTAGCCCACAACTGGAAATCAAGTTCACAAGTTAGCCCAGGCCAAGATAATTCCTGTGTCACTTCTTCTTGCGGCCCTGGGACCCTCAGGAATGGAGAGAAGGGCTCTTTTAAGGTGGCCTGTGGGTGGGCACGCCCTGAGGGCCTGAGAGTGCCTGGAGGCCCATTGACAGATTACCTCCTCAGGGCGGATGTGCCACATTCCTGTGCCAGCCGCTGGATGTGCTGAAGACTCGCTTGATGAACTCCAAGGGCGAGTATCAGGTGAATACTGGGCTGTAGGCTCCAGGACTGGGTGGGGTTCCTGCCATCTATGGCCGTTCTTGGGGGGCCTCCTCACTCTCTGCTCTGTCTTATCCTGGGGATGGGTAAGCTTCCCACTGGGGTGTGGGAGCCCAGAGATGAGGCAGTTGTCCCCTGTTCCTTTCCAGTTGCTCAACTCTGGGTAGCACTTGCCTGGGGGTGGGGCTGTACTTTTCCAAGGCCTTGGCCTTGGTTTTGCTTTACAGAGGAAGCCGTTCACACAGTCAGTAGAATCTGACCAGTGTCTTGAGAGCCAGTCTGGTTGGCTATCTCAGCAGTCCATCGCCTTGGCCGACGTGGTCTTTACTCTTTTGTCCCTAATATCACAGTCCAAGCAGCTTTTGGTTTGGGCTCCAAACACGTTCCTGGGAACGCTTAGAGTGGCCATGCCCTCCTGTGCCTGAAGGGTTCCTCTGTGCCTTTGATTGAGAACCCTCTTGCATCCTTTACTGTTTCTTACAGGGTGTTTTCCACTGTGCCGTGGAGACAGCAAAACTCGGGCCGCAGGCCTTTTTCAAGGTGTGCTGGGGCGGTGGGGATGGTGGGCAATGGGAGAGCAACTGGGCTGGGTCTCCCTGGACCTGACGTCTCTCCCGTCTGGTGTCTCCACCCAGGGTCTCTTTCCTGCGGGCATCCGTCTCGTCCCCCACACCGTGCTCACGTTCATGTTCCTGGAGCAGCTACGGAAGCACTTTGGCATCAAAATGTCAACCTGACATGGCCAGGGACACGTGGGCCGTGCTCAGTCGTTGTGCTGAGCTCCTTGGAAGAGTGGGAAGGGCGTGGGCTCTCCTCCTTCTTGGCCTGGCCCGTGCTGGTCCTCAGCAGGTTCCTGTTCTTCCCACCCTCGGGCTGCTGGCTCTGCCTTCTGACCCTGCCTTGGCCCCAATGAAGTGGCACCTCTGCCCTACATGCTCCCAGGCTCTCCCCATTGGGTCGCCCTGTCTTCCCATCCAATGGATGATTCACTCAGAAGAGGTCTGGCCTGGCTGGTGTCACTGTCCCCACCTCCCTGGCTGCTACCCTGCCCTGCCTGGCAAGCCCAGCGAAGCTGAGTAGGCTTCCTGCTCCCTCTGGCCCTCTGTACACCGAGCAGCTTCTACCCAGAACTTGGGTAGTGAGTGTGGCAGGGTGCAGCCTATGGCAGCTTCTGCTTACCAAATGACTAGAGCACGCACGCACGCACTTTCATCACAAGAGGGACCACTGTGCCGTGTTCTGGAAGGTAGTGCCTTCAGGAGAGGGAACAGGCGGGCAGCACAAATCACCAGCAAATGTCATGGCAGTGGAGTCCAGAGAAAGTGCCTGGGGTGCCGTGTGCACCTCCTGTATGCAGCCTTGGCTGCGTTAATGGTCAGTTTTGCTGAATCCTGTACCTGTCGTCAGGAACTGGCTGTGTCCCTCACACACCTGTGACCTCCCTTGCCTGGCTTCCTCAGGGCCAGGGGAGCATGCTGGCAGAGCTGGGGCTAGAATGAGTTCATTGTATGTGCCCTCCCAGAATGTGTCTTCCTGTATGGCAGGGGTCACCCCTTACCACCCCTCAGGCTTCAAAGCAGCCTGGTTTTCCTCAAATGGGGTTGTGTGTGTGTCAACATGAGATTGGGCCCCGTGCCCATTTGCCTCCCGCAGTCCCCTCAGCACCAGGCCCTCACCCAGGAGATGGCCGTGGAGCCAGGGGCACTGCCGGCATCCGTCTTCAGGATCTAATAAACCAAGTGGCCTGGGAGACTTTTCTGTCTTCCCTGCTCACTCCTCACTCACTCGGGGGCCTGACAGTTTTTTGAGCTCATCCACCGCTAAGGACAATGCTGTCACCTTTGCATCCAGTAAACCAGGACCACCTTACAGGGTAGAGCCTATACGAAGAATTCTTAGACATCCAAAGGCAGGAGGAAAGGGAAATACCAACAGTAGCAAGTCGCTCTAGAGCCAGTCCCATGCAGTTGGTCACTGGCCAGGTGGCAGGCAAGCATGGGAGAACTAAGGATGCCCTGGGGTCTTTGGTGAATGCAAAGAGACTGAGATCCCAGGCTGATAGTTGTACTGGCTCAGGCTGGGCCTAGGAGTATTCCAGGTATGTAAACAAAAACGGGATATCAGCTAAGGGTACCAGGACTACAGCTCTGAATGAACTGATGCTTGGGTCAGAAGAGACCCAATGTACTTCAGGAGCCACAGCCCGTGTCCTATGTCATAGGTATAAACCATTTCGTGGACAGCCCTGAAGACACCGAGTTTGCCTAAACTAGAGTGTAATTTGTTACATGTAGAAAGTGTAGTGAGCCGGGTGGTGGCGGCGCACGCCTTTAATCCCAGCGCTTGGGAGGCAGGTGGATTTCTGAGTTAGAGATTTCGAGACTAGCCTGGTCTACAGAATGAGTTCCAGGACAGCCAGGGCTCCACAGAGAAACCCTGTCTCAAAAAAAAAAAGAAAAAAGTGGGGCTGGTGAGATGGCTCAGTGGTTAAGAGCACTGACTGCTCTTCTGGAGGTCCTAAGTTCAAATCCCAGCACCCACATGGTGGCTCACAACCATCTGTAATGAGATGTCTGAAGACAGCTATTGTGTACTTACATATAATAAATAAATAAAAACTTTAAAAAAAAAAAAGAAAAAAGTGTAGTGCAAGCTAGACGTGTGGTGGCACATACCACTCTCCAGGATCCAGAACACCTAATAACTAGTGGGTTTTAGTCTCTACAGTGTTGGGTCAAACCCTGGGCTTTACACTTGGTAAACACGCACTGTGGCAGCCTGCCCAGCCTCTCCTGTATACCTCACAAAAGGGGCTGCCGCCTAGCTGGCCGCCTGTGATACTCTGCCTTGGCCTTCCCCTTACTAAGAGGACAAGTATGGCATAGCTCCTCATCTAGGTAGCAAGTTCTAGGCTAGCCAAGGTTGTGTGGAACTTCAGTGGACTAGCCTTGCACACAACCATCTCAGAAAAACAAACAACAACAACAAAAAAACAAAGTTTGTTCTGTTTATGGTGGCCCATACCTTCAACCCCTGCACTTGAGAGGCAGATCAGTGTCCAAGGCCAGCCTTGGGTACTGAATGAAGTCCTCATGGGGGCCGGTGGGGTGAAGCCATAGGTTTAACACTAAAGCCAGTGGAGGAAATTAGACTGGTGTTCCACCTGTTGGCCACAAAACCAGATATGCACATGCTACTGTTTCCTGGGTAAGCATCTGGCTGAAGTAATACAGTGGGAGGCAGACCATTCTAGGTTAGAAGTGCAGCCCTGTGGCTCCCCAGAAGAGCTGTTTCTCCAGACCCTGGCCAACTTCTGTGAACTTGCCCCTAAACCAGAAACCACTGGCTGACCAAGCTCTTCACAGAGCAACTTTGGTTTGGAGCCCGGAGCAGGTTTTATCCGTGGCACCAGGGCTACTGGGGAAGCTGATACTACGCCTTACTTCCAGGCAGCCGCGCTGTCAGCCTTGCCCAGCAAGGTCTCTCTGGAGGTGAGAAAGTACCCAGTCTGGTTTGGTGGGGTCAGGCCTGGCAACAGGCCCTGCAGGGCAAAGGTCCATAAGCTAAGGTAGGCACCCTGGTTTCCCTACCACAGGGGAGGGCAGCTAGAAAAGCTTCCTGCCCCTGCATGGAGAGCTACTGAGGGGAGGGGGAACAATTAGGGCAGGTCAGAGGGTGGGTAGAGAGGGGCCCACCCTCTTCATAGGGAGAGGAGAGCAGTGGGCTAGCCTTCACTCCAATTGTTGGGTTGTACGCCCCAAGGCTAAGAGCCAGTTTCCACTTGGACCCTGGGCACGGCTCCAAGCCTGAGCTGTCAGCACTTTTCTGTCAACCTTAGGTCTTTTTTTCTAAAGGATGACTTTATAGTTCAACAATAGGTGAAAAGTGACTTTTTACTGCCAGCAGAGGCGCCAGGGCATGTATACAAAGAAAATGTTTTGTGCTTGCTGTGTGAATAAGAACTGAGTTTGGATCCCTGGGTGGATGCTGGGGGAAAGGCAAGAATAGGCTTTCTGGCCAGCAGCCAATCCAGTCAAATTGGCAAAATCCAAGAAGATTTAGTGAGAGACATTGTCTCATGATGGAGAAAGGAAGACCCTGACATTGACCTCTGGCCTCTAAACACGCACCATGAGTTAGTGTACCCTCCTATACACACACACACACAGACACACACACACACACAATTATCTTTTCAATACATGCTTCCATGAGAGTTGCCATGTGTTCAGGGATGAAGTTCTATGTTTACCTCACACCATACACACTGATCAACTAGCCAAGATCACAGGCCAGATGTCAGAGAGAGCTGGAGAGATGGCTCATTTCAACCAATGAGGACTCATGTCAGTGTACACAAGTACTCACAAGTGCCTGTGCCTCTAGTTCCAGGAGATCTGGTACCTACCTTGTGGTCTCCTTAGACAGACAGACAGACAGACAGACAGACACACACACACACACACACACACACA